GGACAAAATTGTGAAAACGAATGTATTGTTCCGTCCAGATCTTCTTTTGGGATATCCTGAGTTGGGTTGAACCATCTGCTTGTCTCTGTAGAAGGACGTCTAGCAACGCGATTTAGTTGTTTGTCTCTGTTTTCTCAGTAAATTTTGGTTGTGTGGGTCTTGTTAAACTTCTAAACTAGATTATCGTTATCAGTGGTAAGAGTTGCTAGGTAAAATATACCGTCCATGTACCGAGCATAGAAATCAAGGTCATTGATAGAGCACTTAAAACTCGCTTGCTGGACCTTACCCATAGAGCTACTTGCGATAAATGGTCCTAGTGGTGAACCCATCGACACCTCGTCTATTTGCCTATATAGCTGGTCGTGGCATAGAAACTGGATATTTTGCGTGCATCGTGTCAGTAGTCCTTTTAGTGCCTCAACTGTCATCCGTATTCGGTAGTTTGTTCTCTGTAAGTCATACAGGTAGTTTTATAGCGTATAAGTAGCGGTTGTACTTAGGGCACTACAGTAATCAGACTGAAAATCCCAAGTTATTAGTAAAAGGCAGAAGTCGTCAGTACGAGGGATTTATTGTGCACAGAGCCCTATCTTGCTGTCTCAGGCAGCAGTGGCCACTGGCGAAGCCAGGGCTAGTGTTTACTGCGTCCAGACAGGCCTGAGAGAGAGAATGAGACGGTGGTGGCAGTTGCTTAAGTAGGAGTGCGGTCTCCCTTGACTTTGTCTGTTCCACCCCATCATATATTTGAGATCGCTAAGCGACAGCCCGATATCACTTAAGTACGAGCCTCAAGCCACTTCCAGGACAAGTATATACCCTAATCAGATAGATTTGACGAACACCCGAGTTCCAACATAGCTCCAATCGCAACCAGCAAAGGAAACGAGCCCATGGTGCAATGGTTGAGTGTTACACTCAATGAGCAGGGGTCCCGGGTTCGGATCTCGGGGGTTCCGACCCTTGAGATTGTGTATGACTGGCTGATGACGGCTAACAAGCCAGAAATGGTCATTCCGGTCTCCCTTGTCTTTGTTGGTTCCACTCCATATATACATTAAGGACATTGAAAAACAGGACGGGTGTGCCCTCTATCTGATCGGTGTACGCCTATCTACTAATACACATATGTGCTTTGTCGGATCCATTCCATCCTCCCCCGCTAGTCGCTACGTGACTGCCTGCGCGGGCTCTAATTGTAAACTTCACGGTGAAACGGAACTTAATTGTCCTACTACCAGATCGGTGATGACCATATATTCGTATATATGTGCCTACACGAATAAAGTTGGTGGGAATTTACTCATTTCTTATGTTGCCTTGCAAACAGTTAACTGCTTCTTCGCGGTGAGGCCCACCCTTAACCTCGCCTCATTACTGACATACCTGTTTTGCACGATCATGGAGTTAATTGCGACTAGAAAGGTTTTACTTAATCCGTCGTTCCATCTAATCCCCACAGCGCCTATCCTCCTTAGTTGTTTACTAATCGAAGCGTCATTGCAAGAAAAGCCACAAAAATCGTGAGTGTGCAGTAGTAAGCCTTCCAAACTGAAACCCGTCAGCCAACAAATGGCGTTACTCGGTGTGAGAAAAAAGTCAGTAGATGAATTGTGAAATAAATTTATCAATAATTGAAACATTTGCGATGAACGATTTGTGGGCCGGATTCGTCGTATTCCTGCTTAGTGATCCACATCTGGTGGAAGGAGGACATGAATGCCAGGATTGAGCCGCCCATCCAAACTGAGTATTTG